AAATGAATAGAAATGCTACATGGCACCAGCAGTGACGGACCCAGGAGACAAATGAAGCATTTCTGGGAGATAAATGAAAAGAACCGGGAGACAAATGAAAGCAAGTGTAGGGCGGGAACCCGACCACAAGCACCCAGCCTGGGAGACAAATGAAAAGAAGTTGGTGACAAATGAAAAGAAGTGGGAGACAAATAAGAGGAAGTGGGAGACAAGCCGGCCGGGAACCCGACCACAAGCAGAAAAGAAGTGGGAGACAAATGAAAGGAAGTGGGAGACAAGCTGGCCGGAAACCCGACCACAAGCACCCAGCCTGGGAGACAAATGAAAAGAAGTGGGAGACAAATGAAAGGAAGTGGGAGACAAGCCGGCCCGGAACCCGACCACAAGCACCCAGCCTGGGAGACAATGAAAAGAAGTGGGAGACAAATGAAAGGAAGTGGCCTGAAAGACAATGAAAAGAATTGGGATGCAAATGAAAGGAAGTGGGAGACAAGCCAGCCGGGAACCCCGACTGAAAAGAACTGGGAGACAAAGGAAGTGGGAGACAAGCCGGCTGGGAACCCGACCAGACCATCCAGCACCAAGGCGACCATTCTTTAAAGCATTGAGAACCCCTAACAGTAAACTGTTTGGGGAATGAAAAGAAGTGGGAGACAAATGAAAAGAACTGGGAGACAAATGAAAGAAGTGGGAGACAAATGAATGCACGTGGGACACAAGCCAGCCGCAAACCCGACCCCAAGCACCCAGGGAGACAAATGAAAAGAAGTGGGAGACATATGAAAGGAAGTGGGAGACAAGCCAGCCGGAAACCCGACCACAAGCACCCAGCCTGGGAGACAAATGATAAGAAGTGGGAGACAAATGAAAAGAAGTGGAAGACAAATGAAAGGAAGTGGGAGACAAATGAAAGGAAGTGGGAGACAAGCCAGCCGCAAACCCGCGACCACAAGCACCCAGCCTGGGAGACAATGAAAAGAACTGGGAGACAAATGAAAAGAAGTGGGAAAGGAAGTGGGAGACAAGCCGGCCGGGAACCCGACCACAAGACCCAGCCGGACAAATGAAAAGAAGTGCGAGACAAATGAAAGGAAGTGGGAGACAAGCCAGCCGGGAACCGGACCACAAGCACCCAGCCTGGGAGACAAATGAAAAGAAGTGGGAGACATATGACAGGAAGTGGGAAAAGAACTGGGCGACAAATGAAAAGAAGTGGGGGACAAATGAAAGGAAGTGGGAGACAAGCCAGCCGCGAACCCGACCACAAGCACCGAGCTTGGGAGACAAAAGACAAATGAAAAGAACTGGGAGACAAATAAAAGGAAGTGGGAGACAAGCCGGCCGGGAACCCGACCAGACCATCCAGCACCAAGGTGACCATTCTTTAAAGCATTGAGAACCCCTAACAGTAAACTGTTTGGGGAAAAAAATACATACATACATACACACATACATACATACATACATACATCTATGACACCATTGATCTCGAGAGGCTCCAGCAAGAGGCACTCCGCCTCGAATACCCACCGCTCTTACTTGAACTGGCAATGCAGCTGTATACAGGACCAAAAGCCATTTCTGCCGAGCAAGAGTTCACGCCCTTCTTTCGAGTGGACAAAGGGATCCCTGCAGGCTGCCCGCAGGCACCTTTGCTGGCCAAGGCGGTCTTGGCGCCGGCCTTAATCCCATGGCAGCAGCACCACCCATCCATCCACCTCTCCAGCTGGGTAGATGACATTGGATACGACACCAATGGCAGCAACCCCATCCAGGTAGCAAAAGCAGCAGTGGAGGCTTACAGAGATCTTCATGACCGGCTCGTCCAACTCGGCCTCAAAGTCAATGCAAAGAAAACGGCCTTTCTGGCCACGGACAAGGCCACGGACAAGGCCTTGAAAGACATCCTGCTACCACACGAGCCACAAGTGGCCACGGTGATGAGGGACCTTGGCATTGATCATCAGGCTGCCAGACGCCGACGCCTCCCGGTGCTGCAAAAGAGATTTGCCAAGGCCACCAAGCGCAAGCTCAAACTCCGATCCTTCAAGATCCCCAACCTCAAGGTCAGACTTCGGCTACACAGAGGAGGGATCCAACCGGTGGCCTTATGGGGCATCGAGGCACAGGGCCTGGCACCAAGATACAGAACCACACTCAGAGCAGCCCTAGCCACCCAACTTGGTCACCACAAAGGAGGTACGCTTGATGCCACATACGACATCCATAGCAACAAATACATGGACCCGGCAGACCAAGTGGTCATCCACCACATCAAAGCTCTCCACACCCTGTACCATGCCTGGCCCAGCGACCAGATCATGCACCTCGAGCAAGCATGGACCACCATCCACCAACACCAGAGTACCAAGGACCATCCCTGGTACACAGTGAAGGGTCCTTTGGCGGCTACCATCACTTACCTCCTGGAGTGGAAATGGCAAGTCCCACAAATCCAGCATTGGACCAGGCCGGCCACAGATCTCATGCTTGACAATGAGATCAACATCCAAGACCCTTGGTGGAAAATTGAGAAGGCATTGATGCACGAAGCAATGGTCCAGCGCATCCAGCGACTGGCTCAGAGGCCATACCACCAACACCTACTGGCAGGCTTGGATTGGCACGTCTATCGGAAGCTAGTCCGAACCCTTCCCAAGGAGCATCGAACGCACCTCAAGACCTGGGCCCAAGGTGCAATCCATTACCGAGATCAAGGCAAGCCCAAGCTGTGTCCGATCTGTGGAGTCCCAGCCACGCCTAAGCACATCATCTGGCTTTGCAAATGGCATCATGGCAAGGGACACAAACCTATGCCGCCAGAGTGGGCAAACCGCATCACTCAGCATGATGAAGAACCGCTCTGGAACACTGGTTGGATCCCATTTGAGCCGCAAGATCAGCGCCAGATACCCCATCCCAACCAAGGACATGGCAACTGGCAAGACCTTGGGGTCCTCCAGCCGCAACAATACCAAGGATGGGCCTTCACGCTGGATGCCACCCCATCCACCTATGACACCAGAAGCCAACTATGGGTGTTTGGATTGTGCGTCCACACAATGCGCACTGGCCAACTGCAGAGGTTGGGAGCCATCACAGGGGTGCCCACCAACCCGCAAACCAAAGCCAGGGCACTGGTTCCCGGACTGGCAGCCTTGGCCCAGCATACCAGCACACCAGTCAAGGTCATCGTTCAACTGGCCACAGTTTGGGAAGTCTGGACCCAACCCAAGCACCGCCAGGCCTATCAAGATCTACTGCAATCCCTGCAGGAAGAGGATTTCCAACGAGTGACAGTCCTGTACATCAGCAGGAACACCAGAACACCAGACCTGCCAGGCAACGAGCCACACCTTCAACGGAGACAGAGGGACGGAGCTCTGACCGCTTGGGAACGAGCAAGCTCTTTCAAGAACCACAAGGCCATCGAATGGCAGGCAGTTCTTGACCAGGATCATGAGGAGATCTACCGACATGCTGCTGCACGCCTGGCAGCCGTGTATGCTGACAAGCACCACTATCTACACCAAAAGACACCCCAACATCATGCACATCAAACGAAGCAACACAAGAAGCAACTTGTCCAGCAATGCCGCAAGCCCTGGCAAGCACCACTTCACAGGTGGCAACCGCATCGCAGCGGCTATCAGTGCAGTGCCTGTGGAGAGAGGGTCCACCAAGGCCTGACGGCCAACATCATAGAAGACAAGCTGACCCAGCAGTGTCCACAACTGGTACTTGAGGAAGAACATCCAGTGATGCACGGCCCACATGAACCCATCCAAAAGAAGGTCACCAGGGCTCAGCTCATTGCCAGTCTGCTGGACAAGCAAGCTGCACACCAGTCTGAGAGCCAACACCACCTGGAGGAAACGAAAGGCTACCTCCGCTGCCTGACATGCGGACTCAACGTCCACAAACGCACCAATGAGGCAGCTTTCCTAGACTTTGTCAAGGGCCAGTGTATCAACCAGCTGTACACCCCAGGCCACCAGGGCCACAAAAGTCACACCCTTTGGCAGAAAGGGGACAAGCTGCACTGTCAAGGTTGCGGCACACATACCCAGCTTGATGCTCAGCAAAGGCCAATCCTCACTGCAGCTTTAAAGAAGCCATGCAAGGGGGTTCCAACCAATGCTTCACCGCCCATCACAGAACTCTTCAGGAGGCAAAAGGCACGGACTAGCCAAAAGTCTGATAGCCAAGAGACCAGTCACCACTCTCCCTGCAGGGATGATGTCACTGACCCCAAACAACAGCAGGCAGGCAGGCAGTGCACCTCAACTGCACCAGGCCATCCAGCCAAGCACAGGCCAGGCAGAAAGCACGTCACCGCTGATGCCCAGGCAGCTTCAATACCATGAGGTCAACATGACACAAAATGATGAAGAGCAACCACCCCTGCTAACGACAGGGATGCCATGGGCTCCAGGCCATGATACCCAGCCAATCGCCCATCCAGGCCACAGGTTGCTGCAGACTCTCACGAGCCAAACACCAGTCCCACAAAGGCTGCCACGCTTTTCTGGTCAGCCGGACCAGGGCGATCACAGCTCTGATGGGCTGCAAGAAGACAACACCTCTGAGAGCACCCACGAGCAAGACTACGAAGTCGACTACTTCTGAACTGGCCACGGCTGCTTCGTCCACCACCCCAACGGCACCTGGCGGCCTGCAGCTCTCGGCCAATGAGCCTAGCACGTTTGCCTGAAAAGACACCCTTAGAAAAAAAAATACATACATACATACATACATACATACATACATACATACATACATA